AAAAGATGGCAAAAATGCCAAACAGGATGTATTAGTGTTAGTAGAACCATTTGAAATTGTGAGTTTTTTTTATGCTGGCAGAAAATGCCCAACAGTGTTAAACAATGACGACAAGATGGCAAAGCAATGAAGTCCTGTATAATATTTAATAATATAAAAATTATTTGTCCAGCTGTTTTTTATTCAGCTCTGACCTGAGATCCCTGTTCTCCTGTAACAGATGGTTTATTTATGTTCTTTTTTTGTTCACACATTGTATCTGTACCTTTTTGCTTCTGGTTCATGTTCCTCCTCTCCATCATCTGCAGCCTCACTGAGCTCCTCTCCTGGAGTTTCATCCACTTCATTTGAAGGTTTGTCTTGAAGAGGACATATCAGAACACAGATCAGTATTACTTCAGTAAAAGTGACAACACTAGAAACTTTAAACAGTTTATTTCACAATAACACAGATGTCCACCCTGTCTAAACTCAGACTAAGTTACATGTAAAATATAAGCCTGACCTAAACCAGGTTGACCCACTTCTACAAACCGGATTCCAAAAAAGTTTGGACACTAAACAAATTGTGAATAAAAACTGAATGCAATGATGTGGAGGTGCCAACATCTACTTTTTTATTCAAAATAGAACACAAATCACATATCAAAAGTTTAAACTGAGAGAATGTGTCATTTTAAGGGAAAAATCTGTTGTTTCCAAATTTCATGGCGTCAACAAATCCCCAAAAAGTTGGGACAAGTCCATTTTTACCACTGTGTGGCATCCCCCGTTCATCTTACAACACTCAACAGACGTCTGGGGACAGAGGAGACCAGTTTCTCAAGTTTAGAAATAGGAATGCTCTCCCATTCATGTCTAACACAGGCCTCTAACTGTTCAATCGTCTTGGGCCTTCTTTGTCGCACCTTCCTCTTTATGATGCGCCAAATGTTCTCTATAGGTGAAAGATCTGGACTGCAGGCTGGCCATTTCAGTACCCGGATCCTTCTCCTTCATAGCCATGATGTTGTGACTGCTGCAGAATGTGGTCTGGCATTATCGTGTTGAAAAATGCAGGGTCTTCCCTGAAAGAGATGACGTCTAGATGGGAGCATATGTTGTTCTAGAACCTGAACATAGGTCTCTGCATTAATGGTGCCTTTCCAGACATGCAAGCTGCCCATGCCACAAGCGCTCATGCAATCCCATACCATCAGTGATGCAGGCTTCTGAACGGAGCGTTGATAACAGCTTGGGCTATCCTTGTCCTCTCTGGTCCGGATGACATGGCGTCCCAGTGTTCCATAAAGAACTTAAAACCGTGACTCATCTGACCACAGAACAGTCTTCCATTTAGCCACACTCCATTTTAAATGACCCCTGGCCCAGTGCAAATGTCTGAGCTTGTGGAGCTTGCTTAGAAATGGCTTCCTCTTTGCACTGTAGAGTTTCATCTGGCAACGGCAGATGGCACGGTGGATTGTGTTCACTGACAATGCTTTCTGGAAGTATTCCTGAGCCCATTCTGTTATTTCCTTGACAGTGGCATTCCTGTTTGAGGTGCAGTGACGTTTAAGGGCCCGGAGATCACGAGCATCCAGTAGAGTTTTACGGCCTTGACCCTTACGCACAGCGATTGTTCCAGATTCTCTGAATCTTTTGATGATGTTATGCACGGTTGATGATGATAACTTAAAAGTCTTTGCTATTTTACGCTGGGTAACACCATTCTGGTATTGCTGCACTATCTTTCTGCGCAACAATGGTGGAATTGGTGATCCTCTTACCATCTTTGCTTCTGAGAGACACTGACACTCTGAGAAGCTCTTTTTATACCCAATCATGTTGTCAATTGACCTAATTAGAGTTAATTGGTCTTCCAGCTGTTCGTTATATGCTCAATTTCCTTTTTCCAACCACTTATTGCTACTTGTCCCAACTTTTTTGGGATTTGTTGACACTGTGAAATTTTGAATCAACATATTTTTCCTTTAAAATGTTACATTTACTCAGATTAAACTTTTGATCTGTCTATGTTATATTATGAATAAAATATTGACATTAGCCATCTCCACACCATTGCATTAAGTTTTTATTCACAATTTGTTTAGTGTCCCAACTTTTTTGGAATCCGGTTTGTATGAACATGAACTAAACATGATACACCCAGACAAAATCATGGCACAAATTTATGGCACAACACCAACAAAGTGAATTTAGACACTCACCAGAATGTCTGGATCAAACTAGCAGGTCTCTTGGGATGCTGGAGAAAGTTATCAGGACGTCTCACCATCTCCTTTTTGTTACGTCCTACACATGAGCTCCTCGCGTTGTTTCCTGGCAGAGAATCTATTAAAAAAAGTCAGTTTTCAATCTTTTTACAATTCCAGTCATGTGACCGGACATTACATCCAATAACGCAGCAATTTTGGACCATCGCTAAACTGTTTTAACCTACTTAGATTTTTTTTTTAAATGTCAGCGAGAAAGCATGTTTTCGACAGTTAATATGGAGGGCAATAAAAATGGTGGATGCGGCCCAATGCTATCCCATCAGCCGCCACGCCGCGGAAGAGTGACATCACGCTCTAAAGCTCTATATTCTCAGGCACAGATCAGTGGTGTGTCCACTTAAATTGGACCTTTCAAAATCTCCATGAGACCAGCAAAGACTCAAGACAGATAAAATTCAATAAAGTTCTGCCTGCCTTCAAAACAAATGCTGTTTATCTGAATTTGGCTCCCTCAGCTGGCCTTGTAATCTGACCTCCATTGTTGAGGCGGCTGCCTTGAGCAGTGGCATTAAGTTTGTCAATGACGCTCAAAGTGGCTGTCCTTAAACTTGGTGGTGGACACCCCAGGTGAGAAAGACCATCAAGCTTAAGGAGTCCTTTCAGCCCTTGTTAGCTGGTAGGATTTCAGAGGCAGCTGAGTGGTATCAGCAGGACAAGCAGGCTGCAGCCCTGGCTCTTCAGCGCAAAAAAAGAAACTGTCCAGATGACCTGACTGAAAAATGTTGGATTGTATACCTGGATTATTGAGCATGAACTTTGTTGTTTCCAACCAGTTTGACACAATTGTCAACAAGGAAGAGGGCCGGCAATGGAGGCAGGGGCCTACCAAAGAAACCATCTTAGCACCAACAAAACTGGTTTGTTCCATTTTGGAGTAAGATGTTGGGGGAAGAATCAGTTTTGTGTTGTGTGCTTCCTTGACTGATGCAGCCTTCCGGATTGAAGGCGAAACGTTTCAGCGCAAAAAAAGAAACTGTCCAGATGACCTGACTGAAAAAATGTTGGATTGTATACCTAGATTATTGAGCATGGACTTTGTTGTTTTCAACCAGTTTGACACGACTGTCAACAAGGAAGAGGGCCGGCAATGGTGGAGGGGGCGTACCAAAGAGACCATCTTAGCATAAACAAAACTGGTTTGTTCCACTTTGGAGTAAGCTGTTGGGGGAAGAAGCAGTTTTGTGTTGTGTGTTTCCTTGACTGATGAAGCCTTCCGGATCGAAGGCGAAATGTTTCAGCACAAAAAAAGAAACTGTTCAGATGACATGACTGAAAAATGTTGGATTGTATACCTGGATTGTTGAGCATGGACTTTGTTGTTCAGGTGAAATATATTTATTTTGTGGTTGTAATGAGACAAAATGTGGAAACGTTCAACGTGTGCATACACTTATTCAAGGCTGCACATGCAGTTTCAAACTTTAAGCATTTGCACGTGATAACTTTTTAAAACTAAATTTTATTGAACAGTCTACACCAGACAAATGAGATTAAATTAAACATACACTTTTGCTTTAAAAGAAACACAACCAAGTTATTTAAGGTTTAAACACTTTAATTGAGAAACTGAAATTTTAGTATGAATCTTGAAGAAAAGCAACTCAGCAAGCCAGCTGTCTGGTTGCATAGTAAGAAAACTTGTGAAGGTTTAGGCTGATATAAAAAATAAAACAAATTGCAAAAAGGAACTAGAGAAATTGCATTTCCTGCAAAAATCCAGTGTACATGCTTATTGCTGAAGAACTTGCTGGAAAAACAGCTGAAATTAGCTAAAAACATACTGAATTGTAAATGAAATGGAATAACAATCCTAAGTTTGCAGAAGAAAGCAGAAAGAGCACATTTTTGCTGAATTAGGTTTAAATAGGCCGAACTTAGCTCTAAAATTAGGAATATAGCTAAAAAAAACTGAAATTAGCTAATAAATACTAAAAAGGTAGCTGAAAATGTAGAACAAGCCTAAATTAGCAGAAGAAAGCAGAAAGAACATGTTTGCCCAGTTAGGCTGAAAGAAGCAAAAATTAGCACAAAATAGTGTAAATTATCTGAAAATGTATAAATTACGCCCCCCCCCCACACACAAAAAAAAAAAAAAAAAAAAAAAAAAAAAAACAGCTAAACAGTAGCTAAAAAAGTAGGAAGAAGCTAAAATTACCAGAAAAAGGTGGAGAGAACATTTTTGCTGAATTAGAGTGAGAAAAGTTGAAATGAGTGCAAAAAATGTGGAATTGCCTGAAAAAGCTAAAATTAGCATAAAATTGGTAAATAGTAGCTGAAATAGCAGAACAAGCTAGAACTTGCAGAAAAAGCTGAAATTAGCAGAAAGCAGTTGGAAGAAGCACAAAAACGTAGTTAGCAGAAATAATCTGAAAGGAGCACAAAACAGCTGGAGAAACAAAAACAGATGAAATTAGCTGAACGTAGCTGGAAAAAATGTTTAAGTTCGCACAAGGAAACTGAAAGAAGCTGAACCGGGACAACATGTGAAAGGAGCAGTAAAAGGTTATAAACAGATCTAATAATAAATATAAATAGGATCACAATAGTGTGAATGTATGTGAACTATTACACGATTGTATGATTTGTTTAGATTTTTCTTAGAAAACTAAACTAAAACTGCTGTTTTCATCTTTGTAAATTTTAGAGTGAACGACTTAACTTTGGTGAAAACAACAGGTTAAAAAAAGATTTATTAATTTGAAACCATTCATTGTTTTGCAGAAAAAACTACAAGATTATCATTCAGCGCCGCGCACACAGTGAAGAGCCTTACTGTGGGAAGCACCACCAGTTACAGGAGGACTCCATGAAAGCCAACTCTTCAGCAGCTTAACAAGCTGCAACCTGACTGTTGCTAAAGACTGCAGTGTTGTCAGTGAGTCTATGTTGTATAAAATATGAAAACTGTGTTTTATTCCAAAGTCTTTGAATGTATTGTCTTTTTAACCAGCACACACCACAAACATGTATTTTTTTCTTCACTTAAAGGTATGTAATTAAATTTCTACAGTCAAAGAGTTGGCTATATTATTTTTATATGACTATCTTGTTGTTTTTTCCTATCAGTTTCTATTCTTCAGATAAGGTTTACACTTTTCTTTTAGATGTTTTGCAATAAGTAATTGAACATAGAGCTCATGATTAAGGTCACCCTTAAAGAACTTTAGTATTATCTTCATTTTCCGAACCTCTATATATATACCTCTTGCCAAACTGCCAAAAAAACACCAGAAGTAGAAGAAAATTCAGTCTGCAGCTGCAACTCTTCTTCTTCATAGTCACAAACAAACTGTTTTGCCCACTAAGCAGTGATGCATTTGATGTCTTGAACCACTTTGGCTGTGGCAACCTGACTGGGAGCAGTCGATGGGGGAGAGGACGGCCCCCAGAAACCGTCTTACCACCAGCAGACTGGTTGGTCCACAGTTTGTTTGTGACTCCTCAGATTGATGAAGCCCTTTGGATGGAGGGCGAAACGTCTCTCAACAAAAAAACAAACTGTCCACATGACCTGACTGAACATTGTTGGATTTTTACCTGGATTACTGAGCACGAACCTTGATGTTGATGCTTTTTTCCCTTCTTTCCTCAGAGAGAAGGTCAAGCTCAGACTCACTTTCAGTGTAACCAGGGCTGACAGCTCAAACCATGCTGAGTAATGAAGACAGGTTTTATTTCCTTTGTGCAGTGGTGTAGTCTATGCGATACGCAGGTATACGGAGTATACCCACTAGAAAAGCTTAAGAATTTCAGTATAGCCACTTAAAAGTGCCCAATGATACACACCATTGGGCATAAATGCTTCTGTAACTATCTATCAGTATGCAGCACTTGTTTATTACATTCACTTATCCTGCAAATTATTGTATAATTATTACTTCTGTACTTACTACTTAATACTTGAACATGCTTTGCTTTGATACTATTTTATAAATTCTATAACATGTTTTTAACACAAAGCCAACGGTTGTACAAAGTTTGGTGTTCATTTATTCAAATATAAGCATCAGAGAAATTTGGAAATGTTCAATATGCTTAAAAATCAAAATAAATTGACCATTACATTGTACTAACCAGTGTACTTTGGTTTCTAAGCACAGTATACGGGCCAACTACAGTAAAGTTTTACGTTGGATGTTAATTGGACATTTGCGCTCCGTGGCTTCAGCTGTATCCTACATAAAACTAACTTTACCATGGTACACCCATTATGAAAATGTAGACTACACCACTGCCTTTGCGGTTTGTTTGATAACCTTATAGAGCCATAAACCTTTGTGTTCTGATTGGAAAACATCTTCAGTGAGGTTTTACCTACTTTTTGACATTTGAACTGAAGATGCAATAACGTGACCAGCAGAGTTGTAAAGGGAGTTATGCATCATGTTGTCCCTTCTACTCTTTTTTACTAATTCTTTCATAAATGATACATTTTATGTGGAAACCTTCGGGTGGGCATGTAACAAACAGTACAACTTTGCTAATTTATTTATTTTTAAGTCTTTAATTTCACCCCAGAGATTAAAATTAAGAGCCTTTTATGTTGAAAACTGAGTTGTAGCTGTTTAGGTCAAATCTAAAGCATTAAAAATCTCCAGCTGCGTGTGAGGTTTGGAGCTGCACACAGATGGGATGTTGGGAGTAATATCAGATGTTTGATAGGTAAACATCACAGAGGAAACTACCGTCTTCACTTCAACAAAGAAAGCTGAGTTCGGCCATTTCCTCATCACTCTGCTCCGATGCTGATTCGGACATTATCCAAACTGTTGATCTACGTGACGTCAACAGCGTTCTTATCAGATGTCACACTCTTCATGGTCAAGCTGGTAATTTGGAATGGAATGCATCCGCTTTCAGCTTGGGAAGAAATGGCTTCCTTCCATCTGTTCCATTTCCCTTCCTTTCTCATTAGTACTTTACAAGTCAATGTTTGTCAGTTTCCTTCTGTGTTCACACTATATTTTTGTGTTTGTTTTTAGTGAGTCGTTCATTTTTAAACTGTAGCCTTTGGAAAATAACCCTGAAAAAGCAGAACAGTGAATCAAAACTTTAAAGTTATCACGATTTACTTAAATAACCCCAAAATTTCTCTTTAAACACATCCACTGTCCGTGAAAAAGTACTGATGGAATTAAGGGGAGGCACCTCCTCGTGAGAGCGCCATGAGAAGAAGAAAAAAAAAAGGGATGGGGAAGGAAGTGGGAAATGAAGACAACAACAAATAATAAACAGTAGAGCCAGCAGTGATTGCAGATCAGAAACATGCAGCTCTGGAACCAGAGATACCTCAAGAAAGAGAGCAAGAAAGAAAAACATGAACTGCAAAAGAGAAATAACCTTAATGGTGTTGTGTCAGGGCTGGGAAAAAGCAAGAGTGGAAAAGAAGCAGAGTGGAAGTTTGTACATTTCTGCATGCTCTGTATCCGAACATACCTGTTTTCCAGTGTATTGTTTGGAAATAATTTGCTTGTTTGTTAAGTTTTTGTTTCATATGGGCGACTGTGGCTGAGTGGTTAGAGTAGTCGTCCTCCAGTGCAAGAGTTGGGAGTTCGACTCCACCGGCAGTCACATGCTGAAATGTCCCTGAGCAAGACACTGAACACATCATTACCTCTGATGTGTGTCCCATTGGTGTATGAATGTGATAAAGCTCTGATTATTACTTGTAGAGATCTAGTAGTGTTGTATGAATGGGTAAATGAGGCGCAGATTGTGTTGTAAAGAGCTTTGAGTATCTTGATAAGATAGAAAGGTGCTATATAAGTACAGTCCATTCATTTCAGAAAAAGTCTGAGCTTATTCTCACCACAGTTTACATCACATTTCCCGAATGAACACAACAAATGAGAATTTTATCATTCTCAGGATCTCCTCAAAACAAAATATTCTGCTAGTCAAAAAAGAAAAAAGAAAGAAAGAAAAGGTAAGGCACCTCGTTATTGCCCCCTGTTGCGAAACAAAGAGTGGGGCTCGTCCGTGCATGTTGTGAGCATGATAACTTAAAAAATAAACAAAGTACCGGTTTCCATTTTGGAGAGTGGCTACATCTACAGTAGGTGTAAAAAAGCTAATTGTAGAAACTTGGGCTGCCACATGAAAATCCAAGATGATCACCACCACATGACACACACACGCACGCACGCACGCACACACACATACACAGAGCCAGTTTATTTATAAAGTGCCAAATCACAACAAAATCATCTCAGGGCACTGAACAGAAACATTCACATACATAGAAAAACCAATTAGTAAAGTTCTCTATCTAAGGAAGCCAGCAGACACGTTGAATCTTCACTTCGTTGCAGTCTCCCATCCTGAACAAGCACAAAGACAACAGTGGAAAGGAAAAACTCCCTTTTAACAGAACTATACGAAGCCAAGATTCAACTTGTCTGCTGGCCTCCTTGGATAGAGAACTTTACTAAGTGGCTTTTATGTATGTGAATGTTTCTGTAAAGTGCCCTGAGACAACTTTGTTGTGATTTGGCGCTATATAAATAAACTGAATTGAATTGAATAAACCTCCAGCAGAAACAGGCTCAGCAAGCAGCCATCTGCTTTGACCAGCTGGGTTTAAGAGGACAGAAAGAGGAGACGAACACAGAATGGCAGGTCCAGATATACTGTAGGTGCAGGTGTACCTCCAATTGGAAGAAAGACAACATGTCATGGAGAGAAAAAAAATACAAATACAAAACAGGTTGAGTAGCATAGTGAAGAAATGTGGTCAGTTTGTCATCCAGAAGTCGAAGCGTATCGCAGCATAAATAAAGGATAGCTCAGTAAACTTAAGCTGACCCTAACTATATGATTTATCCAAAAGGAAAGTCTTAAAACTGGACAATGTGTCAGCCTAACAGACAGAAACTGGAAGTTGGTTCCACAAGAGACGAGCCTGATAACTGAAATCTTTGCCTCCATTCTGCTTTTTGAAACTCCAGGAACCACAAGTAAACCTGCAGCCTGAGAGTGAAGTGCTCTGTGAGGAAAGTATGGAACAATAAGATCTGTAATATAAGATGGAGCTAGGTTGTTGAGAGCTTTGTAGATTATGAGTAAGATTTTGATTATATTTTGAATTTGACAATTTGACAGTGGAGAGAAGCTAAAACTGGAGAGATATGATATATCCTACTAACTCCAGTTAAGACTCTGGCAGCAGCATTTTGGATCAACTGGAGACTTTGATGAAGTTTTTGGACACCCAGATAACAAACTATTGCAATAGTCCAGTCTGGATGTGACAAATGCATGTACTAGTTTTTCCTGCATCATTACACATGTGTGTGTGTGTGTGTGTGTGTGTGTGTGTGTGTGTGTGTGTGTGTGTGTGTGTGTGTGTGTGTGTGTGTGTGTGTGTGTATGTGAGCTAGATCATTTAAAGCACTATATATTTTCTAGTGTTTATATTTCTTACCACCCCTTGCCTCCTCCAATGCATCTGGTCATGGATAAAACTGCACCCTCCACTCAGAAGATCAGTCGAACTGCGCTGCCTCAGATAAGCAAAAAAAAGAAGTAATAACCTCCCTCTGTTCTTTTCTACAGTGCAACTCCACTCAGATACCTTGCACCAATGACATTAAGGTTCACTTTCATTCTCTTTTCAATTTCAGTCCAGAAAAACACTAATCCCCAAAAATACAAACATTCACTATTCAAAGCAGCAACAGGGGACATTGGCGAACCACTATCTGTTGTACCTTAATTGATCTGTGTTCATCACCCTGTTCTGAACCTGACCACCTTCACAGAGACTGCTGAAGAGAAGCACCAGAACTCTGCAAAGAGATGCAGCGAAAGAAGACAAATTAATGACAATATGTT